GAGGCACTGACGCAGGAGTGACTGGTTCAGGGATCAAACGTGTGACCTTCTACTGACAGGATGTGCTGTCTAACCTCTGATCCACACACACACACTGATCCTCTGGCAGCAGCAGAAGGGGATTATGGGAGTGGATGGCAGATAAACAGCAGGCTGGTATGAAGTAAAGATCAGGCACCATCAGATCGCTGTTTTAAATCCACAGCAACATATTTATTCCACATGTCAGACTACGGCAGGAGCATGAGGACAAAATGAAAACAATCTACTGCCATTATCAACACCCGGCCGTGTCTAATAACGCACAAAGACCACGGCTAATATCAACTACGATGGCGAGCGAGACACACGATCAAACTCTGATGTTGAAGTAAATTTTAAATTCGATCTAGAGATTTAAATTAAGACGACACAGATTAGAGCCCAAACCAACTGGATTCTTTTTAAGTTTAGTAAATCTATTAACAATAAAAGTGACCAATAGTGACCAAATAAATATGGTTTAAATATATGGCTGAAACCGTAAACAACTCACATAGTGATACTGAAGCCTGCATTGTGAACATTAAATTGATTCATTTAAGTTACTTTACACTTACACTTTGAGCCATCAGATTTCAATCGATTTGAATTTGCATTTACACTTGGTGTCTTTGCAATTCGATGGCTATATTAGGGAAGTTCCTAGCGGCTAATTTCCCTGTCGATTACACGGATATTTAAATTTAGACTAGTTCAACAGCAGCCTGCTCTCTTTCCAGGTTACTGTCCACATACCTGTGCTGAATGTGGTTATGCATAGCTCCGGTTGAGGGGTTATAATAACAACCTTATTTTCATTTTCTAGATCAAAGTACTGTCAGTCATGGTTTTATAAGACGTCCCACTTGTCTGCCTGCCAGGTAGCTGCATTACTAAGATTCTTTTTACCACATAACGTGTATTTGTTGTGTACATTACTACATATTGCGTATTTATAATGTATTTCTTTATTACGTACTCTGTTTTTAGCTCACTTCTTCATGTGGACTCTCTTGTCTGTGAAAAGCGCTAAACAAATCAAGTTTACTTACATGCATCTTAGACGCAACAGTTAACCGGCGTTTTTACATTAATAAAATGTTAATAATTAGTTAGTATTAGTAGTATTTCTGGTGCCGCCTAGCGTGGGTAGCAACGTAGAATCGACAGCCAACACACACGCACACCAAATTATCTGCAAAAAGCTAAAATCAGACGGTAAAATTGTCGCTGTTGCTGTTTCACTGGCAGATATACACAGTCATGTCAGTACAGCTTCAGTTCCATCTTTTATATTGTTGTGAGTGAACCATTTCAACAGATCAGGGTTAAAATTAGCCAATTAATCCACAAAAAACAAATCAAAAGCACTTTACGCGACAAAAATGCTCCAATTTCTAGCTTCTCACATCATTGTACATTTATTACCTTTAGGTTTTGGACTACTGGTCACACAAAACAAGATGTCAAAAGACATTTCTAAACAGCTGCGGGTTGCAGCCCTGTGCCAGGTAAAGCTAAAAGCCGGTACATGTGGATGCTGCGGGGCGTTATTCATGTTTCAGCTCCTCATGCATCATCTTAACGTATAACAGACGTGTTTTGCATGACAGTGTGAAATGACTCAGAGCGTGCAGCCAGTTTCAAACCCCCCCTAACTGCCTGTAACCCTCGTTTCTATTCACTGGCAAAGAAAATCAATACAGCAATATAATGTCGGGCGCAATAAAAGGTGCTTTTAGTCCCGTTTATGTCAGGAAACGACACAACATTGGTCCATGTGTGTGACAGTGACGGCTCCAAGCGACAGAAGGATTTAAGCTACATGAAGCTGCGGATGACTCCCTCGGGGTGGTTTCTAATGGTTTTGGTGACCTTCCCTGAACCGTGTCTTTGTTTTTAATCAAAACTACCAAAATGATGACAGTTATTTCAGGTGAATGGCATCAGATGTAATTTCTGTCTTGCCGTTCACACTTTGAATTGTGTCTCAATTTTCTTGCAGTAAAAGGGGAAAAAGCACATTTTGGATTAAAGATGCAAGCTGACAATTCAAGGGTCTCGAGCCAAAAGGTTTTGAGACACTGGTCTAATAGTGATGTCCTTATTTGGTTTTACCCTATAGGTGTTTTAGTGTACTGGTATGCAGTTTCTGATGTGGATGGTAACTGATGATCACTGACTCTACTTTTACAGTATTTTGTTGATTGATGATTCTAACTTCTTTATACTTTGCACTACCTTCCCCGGTGCTGCTGTGCCAATTTGAATTTACCCATCTTATCTTAACCTATAAACAGCCATCGTCCATTGCAGAAACTCTAAACATGACATGGATTATTAAATGCCTTGCTTTTGGCTATTGTTTACATGCCAAAGATGTGAATGGTAGTCGACTGACCAGCTTTTCGGAAACAAAACAATTGTTGTCTCTTTGTGTGCATGTGAGCTTTCGGCTTCCTTATTCTTTGTCCGCCCGCTCGTTGTCACACCTGAACTACAGAAAAGAAGAGAAACCTGCCGTGAAAACTCTTTAATCGGAAGCGTGGACGCCTCTTTTTCTGCGGAGCGTGGTGGATGTGAATGTGTGTGTGCTTCATTTCACACGCCAAACCCATTTCCACTCTCCCTGCTCCCATTTTAATGACGGGCATTAACAACACGGCTCGCTCAGATCTCCAATTTTTACGCAGAAATGTGCAGAACGGACTCTGTTCGTCCTCCCTCCTCCTCCTCCTCCATTTCCTCGTCTTTTCATTTCACCCTCTTCCTCTCCCCGCTGACTAATCCTCCACCTCCCACACCCTCAGCCTCCCGCAGAGCCGTGGATGACCGTGACGTTTGTTGTTGTTTTATCTGGTCTGAATTGGACGGATGCTCCTCCAAATTAGAGGAGACAGAGAGGAATCCCAAAGCTCGGTATCAAACCTCAGACCTCGTCTCTCGACGCGGCGGCGGCAGAAGCTCGGGTGACAGCGAGGGCCCGCCGTCCAAACCGGCCACAAACCTCAGGGAGAGTATCTCCACCTCATCCGCTTCTACTGCAGTATGAACTTGAATATGTATACACTTACAGTGGCAGGAATCTGAGCAGAAGGGAAACCCTCCTGTTTAAGCAAAAAAAAAAAAAAAAATCTCATCAATCAATCTCAACCTCTGGGATTTTAGTTTGCTTTTTTTTTTTTGTTTCTAAAAGATGTTTTCTGACAATAAAAAGTAAAGTAAATATGTTAACCTGCAATTTAAAGCTAAGCAACACCTTCTTTTAACCAGTTTTAGAGAATAGAAAACCAAAATGCATGCTGCAGATTTGCATTTTTTACTAAAAACAACACCAACGCAGAAGCTGGATAGTCCTGCTGCTCCAGGAAAATACACTGGCCCCGCTGGGCTGTGCTGCGCAACATCTGCCTCCAGGCTGAATGAGATTGCAACAAGGTCTCAGGTTTCTGACTGAGTCTCATGACACATCACAGCCGTTTAAGCGTCTTTATGTCACGAGTGTGTTTCACATGAATGGATGACAGCGAGGTGACGGGAATTAGAGAACGGGGTCAAGGGTCGAGTGCAGGAACAGACACGCTTTTCCCACAGAGCACCAGGAACGTCTACACTGGCGCTCCTGAAGGAGGACGTCTGAAAACGACCACTGCGACGATGGAAGCGTTTACTACTACAGCCCACTCTCTGTCAGGGAAAGGCAGATGCAGTTTGCATGTAAATACTCCCCTTCTCTCCCTCCCCTCCCTACCTCTCTCTCTCGCTCTCATGTAGAGCAGGTCGAACGCCAATCCTCTCTCACTCCCTTCTCATCGCAGTTGCAGAGGCGAGGAGGAGGAGTGGAAAGCTGGAGAGTGGAGGGACCGGACGGACTGGATTCCCCAGCGGTGATTCGCACTTGCTCGTGGTGGTGGTGGAAATGTATCGCCACCCCCCAGCACCACCACCACCTCCTTTACATCTTACACTGATACTCCACCGCCTTTATTTTGTAATTAAGCTCATGTTAAGGGGGCATTCAGCAAATACCATTCATTGCAAAGGGGTGGGGGGTGAACGTAAAGGCGAGGAGTGTTAAATTCGATGCTACAGGTGTCCAGGAGGCCTCAGGTGCTGTGTGAGGGCTTACAGAGAAATAGATATGGAGAGAGATGTACGCTCCCTCGCCTGTGTGACTGGTTTATGAGCAGCCTTAGATGAATGGACTGTTGTATTGTTGCTTTAAGCAGCCCCAGGAGTCCCTGAAGGCAGATTAACTCTAATATTACAGTGGGAAGACAAACCTCTGATTATAATGAGGAGCTTTTTACTGCCATTTTATATTCTTCTCTGTAGACCGAGAGTCCCTGCAGAACTCTTGGATGGAGCCATGATGAAACCCCACTGTGATGATGCTCCTATATGCACCACAGGGAGCTGTGCACACAGCCCACTGCACTTTCTTCCTCAAATGCATTGAACACGATTAGTGATTTTTCAATTTCAGATAGGTTAGGATACCCGGAGTGACCCACAGGAAGCTGTATTTTATTACTGACAAACATGGAGGTAATGTTGAGGAAGGACGGGATCGATACGGATCAATGCCACTGTAGTGTAATATAGGTAAAACACCCATTAGAAGAGATTAGATGCTGAATATGAGCCCATTCGTTTTAAATGGGTTCATTTTTTACCAACAAGTGTTTTAAAAACAGATGCCCGATCTTTACATAAAAGGATGTGCGCCTTCAGAGATTTATCCTCCATCGAGTATGTTTTTTTTTTATTTATTACGGCGCTCAACCAGGCGAAATAAATTGAAAATAAAGTGAATATAGTCCTTCTATGATCGTGCGTAAAGCGTCTCCTGCAGACCAGCAGCACACTGACAGGAGGATTTGGATGAAAATATATAAAATATTTCACAGGAATGTTGTTATGTAAAGATGTAGGAATAAAATTATGTGTGGATTGGTTCTGTAGAGAGAAGTTCTTACCTGGACCGGGTGAGAGCTGCGCGGTTCCCCAGCTCTGAGCGCTCCAGCCCGGCTACAGGCTCTGCTCCTCCTCGGTACCCAAGCGGAGCCGCTCCAAACCTCCGGGGGAAAAAACCGAAATTACCAATCCACGCCGGGGGGGGGGGGGGGAGTACCTTAAAACAAATCTAACAATCCAGTCGGACAGGCAGGGGCAATTATTCCTCCAAATCCTCTCACAATTAATGTCCAGTTTTACTGTCGTGACCAGCGCTGCGCGTCAACCCGGAGGTCCTTCCTCTCTCCGGGGAAACGGCTGGAGCTGGAGCCCAGCCGGGGGAAGACCCGTCCGGACAGGGGTCACTCGCTGCTGCTGCTACTCCGAAGGGGCGAGCGCTACCACCGGGCGGTTTGTACCGACAGCTGCAACAGCATCCTCCGCTGATGGCACGCTTGGGGAAGGGTAGAGGGGTGGAGAGATGGTGTAAGCGGACGGAGCACCGGACGGGGAGGGGGAGAAAAAAGGGGGTAAAACGGTTTAAAAAATCACCAAAACAAAAAACACTAGGTCCGGTAGGTCCGGGAGTTGCCAACAGCGGTCTTCCGGTTAGTTTCCACCCCGACGCGCGGTCACCGCTCTGCCGCCTCAAACTCTGTTCGCCTCCCGGTCCAGCACGGAGCAGGTCGCGCGGCTGCACTGTGTGTGATGAGAAAGTGGAGTGAGTCCAAACGGCAGCGCTCGCGCTTCCCTCCTCTCCTCTCTCTCTCTCTCTCTCTCTCTACCAAGCTGTCTCCCCCCCTCCGCCCCCTCCCTCCCCTATACACTCTCTATACACTCTAACGGGGGGGAGGGGGGCGGGGCGAGCATCCACCCTAACAGCTAACTTGGATTTCCCAACATTTTCTGTCATTTTTCAACAGAGATATGGCGACTTCTCCTAACTGGCCTTTTTTTTAACTACCGGAGCCGGTGTACTTGTGTGTTTTGTCTTTTTCTACCGTTCAAACAGTAGTAACTGTATGCGGCAGCTCAGCCTCGCAGGTCCAACACTCTCCATCACCCTCGTTAAATGTCTAAAGAGTGTGAGAACTGCGGTTAAAGGGGTGAAAGACACGCACATAAAAGTCGGAGCGGATTTTTATTCGCCGCCATACTCTCTTGGTTCAAACAGTCAAACTATCGAGTTCCTCTCCCTCCATTTCCACTCAGTAAATAAATGTTCCAACGCTTTTACCTCTTTCCATTTTTCCTGTCATCTCTCTCTCTCCACTTCTCTCCATCCATGTTTCTGCGTCTCTCCGCCTTTGCTGTCTCCCAGCTCCGTCCTGCCTCACAGAGAGGCGGGAAGGCGCCGTCTCTCGCGCTCTGAGCGCCACCTACAGGCGAGAAGCGGCACGTGACGGGCTGAGCAGAGCTCGAGCTCGGAGCACAGGCTTTTCCCGCCACTGTGGAGCAGAGGCAGCAGGAGGAATACAGGGAAATGGAGTCTATAGTTAACACACTGATATATATTCGACAATAATGGCTGTTATTACAGCTACTGCTATATGAAAACAAGACAGCATGTGGTGGAGGGAGGCTGTTATCCAAAGCAGCTTACTGTACTGTGATATTACACACAACACATATGGATTAAATGTTTTTGCATATGGCTGCCTCAGTTTCAGTGCACCGGCTTAGTGAGCTAATCCAAATGCATCATTCAAAAAGAATTAAAAATCATTTATTTAAAAGAAATTTCACTTTTTGCTTTTTGGGTGACACAGATTGCGGTTATACCACAAAACTCTATTCGACCTAGTATTTTATGTCTTCATTAAGTCCTATATAAGGCGAGGTAAGCAGATTTCTGAAATAAAAACTGGGGACATTTTTGGTTTGGTGGTCAGTATGTCATTAAAATAAAATCTAATGTATACATGAAATAAAAAAGGGGGGAAAATTTTGGTTTTATAATGTGTCAAATATAACTCTTCTGAGTGAAATCAGGTCATTTTGAGGCAGAAACTACCTTTCAGTCAATAAGTAGAGGCTCCAATCACTTTCTGGCAAATAGAATACTGTACTTTATGTGTTGTTTTGGCCATTTAACGGTATTTTAAGAAATAAAAGTACAAGGTGAGTTGTAATCTGTCACATATAACACTAATTAATATAATCAAGTCATCTCAGGGCAGAAACAGCCTAACCTTTCAGTCAATAAGTAGAGGCTGCAATCACTTAACAGACAAGTAGAATACTGCATATTATGTGTTGTTTTGGCCATTTAAAGGTATTTTAAGAGGTAAAAATTACTAGGTGAGTTGTAATCTGTCAAATATAACCCTCATGAATATAATCAAGTCATCTCAGGCCAGAAATAGCCTAACCTTTCAGTCAATAAGTAGAGGCTGCATGCAATCACTTAACAGGCAAGTAGAATACTGTATTTTATGTGTTGTTTTGTGTCAATTTAAAGGTATTTTACGAGGTAAAAAGGACTAGTTCAGTTATAATCTTTCAAATATAACTTCTGAATGAAGTAAAGTCATTTTGAGGCAGAATCTACCTTAAGTAGAGGCTGCAATCACTTTCTGGTAAGTGGAATACTGCATTACATGAGTTGTATTGGCAACTCATGTAATGCTGCCTTGTTTTCATATAGCAGGCTGAAATAACAGCCCTTATTATTATTATTATTATTATTATTGCCTTGTTTAATAAGAGTTTGTCCCGGGGTCCTTAATTCCGTTAAAAGGATCACAAAGACATACCTTTGCTGTTACCATGGACATAAAGTGATGTTTATTGGCACGTTATGTCTGTTTGATCCAGATAAAAGCAGCTTTAGATGTTCAGAGACTGGGCGATACAGCTTTAACATGCTGCGCGCGGGCAATCAGTTTTTTGGTGGACAATTACTTTTCAGCAGGACACCTGTATGCCCTGCTGTCCAGTTTTTCTGGCCTCGTAAAATCTGATTTCAGGCCTGTTAACACCTTATACAGTCTATGATTAACACACAATTAAAAACGAGGTAATTCCCGGAAAACGGAGACGTCTGGTCACCCTAAAATAAAGTGAAAAGTTTGCAGGGAAAAACTGCCAGTGCATCACAAATATTTCAGTCTTTGTTTTTCCTAGAAATTTCCAGAAATAAGACAAATTAAGAATTCTGCAAGTATAGGCCTACTTCGTGCAGTAAGAAAGCATAGTATTGATTATCAAAGAAACTCTTAATCTAATCTTTTTTTAGAGGAAGGCTTTGAGTTACACAAATACTGGAATGAACTGCAATATATTCCAAGATAAAGGCCTACTGCAATAAACTGTTGTTATCATGGTCAATTTATGTATTATTGTAATAATACTTAGTGAAGCAAGACGCTTTCAGCAAACTATACTTAAAGTATCAAAAGTAAAAATATAATGTTATATTACACTCTGTAAACTGCTCACGGAGCGAATTTTAAAAAACTTCATGTAGTTTAATCCAGTGGTTCTCAAACTTTTTCACATCAAGGACCCATAATTGGACACAAATTAGACAACAGACCCCTGTTTAATAGGATTTTGTCCCAGGGTCCTTTATTCCAATCTGATTTTTGCTTTTAGATGATTTATTCATTAGAGAAATCGCATGAAGCCCATAACCACAGTAGCCTACCTTTTGTCACTGAGTTACTTACAATTATATGAAATAATTGATTCCTCTTTTCCCCTCAAGGACCTCCGGGGGTCCCCTGACCACACTTTGAGAACCACTGGTTTAATCAATATCAATGCAGATTACATTTGTTGATCATGGAGTAAAAAGTACAATATTTATGTAGGCTATATAAAAGAAGTATAAAGCAGCAACAAATGGAAGGTACAAGTACCTCAAATCTTAATTTAGGTAGCCTACTGTCCACTAAGTTATGTGTTACCATGTGATTCCAACCCCTATTTGACAGAAGGCGTATTTCAAAGGCTCATGGGAAGTGTAATTAGTAAAAGTATAGTTGTTATACTGAAAATAATTTTAAAAAATAAGGTTAATCCTCAAAAGGGCATTTAAAGCTAGCAACATGCATCAACCTCATCAAATTACTGTATCCAATGTCTGTCTTATACCACTAATATTTCCATTTTAGAAACACATAATAAATATGTCTGTTAATCCAGAAATGTTAAAAAAAAACAACCTGCTGCTATAGAGGTCAGTCTGAGCTGAAGTTCGCCACTTTTTACCCTTTTTACACCAACATTAGCGCATATATGTAGGTTTTTAAAATGCTAATAAACAGGTGACAGGTGTTTAAGGTGTGTTGTCTGCTCTGAAAGACGCCACAGCGCAGATATTTAAAGTCAGAGCTGACAAACAGTTAGCCTAGCATGCTAATACTACTTAAACATATGGACAAGACGTTTATAGACGTCCACAGACAGAAACAGATGAATGGAAAAGGAGCGAAAATTAGGTGTCATGTTTACATCAGGAGCTGATGAGTAAATAAATGTACCCTTTCATACTGAAGACAAAAGGCAGATATTAGCGGGTGTTGCTGGTTTTTTGTCCAGTGTTTTAGCTACATTTTGAGCTTCTGTGTTAGTCGACAATATAGCATTGCAATCTCAATTCATGGGCTTCCTGACTAGCTATTTATTTAACTATCTGGGATGTTATAAACATTAATAACAGTCTGCAAGAGGTTTTATTTTCTTTTTTGCTTGACATTTCTGAGCAATATTTACTGTAGCTACTTTGCCGCCATGCTAATCAAGGTCTCTGTAAATAGCAGTTAGTACTTTTGGTTAATTACAGAGACATCAAGATCACAGAAATGGGAGGTCTGATGAGCATAGCTGCAGCTCATGTGCCAGGATTCACACACCCTTTATTTACCACTGCATTCCTGATCAAAATATTACATACTGCAGCCGATGCAGTGGTGGATTCTGTATTTTAGGGGGCTCCTGAACATGTGATGTCATCCTTTACCATCTTTTGGCACATCAGGATCCAAGTCGTGGTGTCCTTTTTGTTCACAAGATTAAAACATTAGCGCATTTATCTTTGCAATGTTTGATGTTAGAGGGCTTGTTTGCATTTTGGGGGTCACTGTTTTTGTGGTTAGGAGAACATTTTTCATTGGATTTGTTTACTTTTCTCGGTCACATTACTTTCTTTCGTGCTTCTGACTAGTACAGAATAGATAGATATGTTCTGTCCTCCTTTTTACATTTCGTCTTTGCTTTTATCTTCAGGAAATTAAAAAGACGTGCAAGTGTTTCAATAATTTTTAATTATTATTTTTGTTATCATAACAGAACATGCACATTTCAGACTGCAGCAGTTTCTTTCTCACTTTTCTCCCTTTTTCTTTTCTACATACAACTCAGATGCTTCATTCATACATACAGGATAGAAATAGACAACATGCTGCATGATGGACCAGAGTGATTTGTTTTCCACTCCAGTGCGCCCCTGTAGGGTGGCTTCAGCGCTTCATGATTGTGCCTGCTAGAAGAAATGTTTCAAATGTATAGATATATTTCTCAGTGTATCTTATTTCAAACCACAGAAGGAAATGTACTATATAATAAGACATATTTACTCTGTCTGTCGGCGCCCCAGGTGTTTAGTTACACCTCCACTCCTCCAACTCATGAAGGCACTAGGTAAGATCTGGACCCGGAGTCTGTTAAAAAGTAAAAAGTTTATTTAAAGTTTTTCAATTGAATTAAAGAAAACTGGAAGCTACGGTAGCCTCC